GTCCGTCCTTCCCCGGGGTGTACCGGCACCCCCGCTGCGGGGAGCCGGGGCTGCGCGCCCTCTGCACGGGGCCCCGCGCCCCGCAAAGCCCCTGACTTTGCGGGGCTGGGATTTTCGGAGCGAATCCTCTTTCGGACAGAGAGCGGTCCTGCCCCAAACGCCCCTCTCCCGAGTCAGGTGCAAGCGGAGAACAAGCGTTTAGGAGATGCTGTGCTGCCGCTGAATTCCATCCCGGAGGAGGCCCCTGGAGATAAAGCTTCTCCCCGAGTTATCCCCTCCGCAAGACCCCAGGAATGAATCGAGCTCTTGGGATGCACCTGGCGGTGTTGCCCGTGACGTCTGAGGCCCGACATAAATCGTCTGTGATGGTGATGCTCAGCCTCTGTGTTTTGTGATGGTAATTCAAAGTAAGCCCCACCGTCTGAACGAATACAGGAAAGTATCTGAAAGGCAGGAGTAGCTTTATGAGCAGCAGCATGTTCAGGCAGGTTGCTTCAACATTTAATCAGCCAGTGACATAAAGGAGTAAGTGCTTTCACCCTGGGGCAGAGATACCTGGAGATAAGGAGTGATACCAGAAGGTGTCCAAGGAAATGAATAAAAAGGGGCATTCTGACTGAAATCGTGGAACTGTGCTTTCTGTAAGTTTTCCCATTAACATGATTCCTTTTCTTCATGCTAGAAATTTGGAAAGCTCAGAGAAGCCATTTTAGGAAACACTAAAACACCCCTCATCTTTCAGCCATGAAAAGGCCTGGTTTTAATTAATCAACTCTGTAGTACAATGTGAACAAAGCACCTCTGTGTTGTAGATTTCCAGGTTGCCTTACAGAGAGCAAGCCCGAGAACATCTTCTCATTAATGGGCACAATTCCTGTCTTTACAGGACACTTTGTTCATAAACAGGGTGTCACATGTAGCCTTTGCTGTCTTAATTTGAAGGAAGAGTACATACTCTGTGTAGAAGCAGAAGCACATATATTGTGAAGAGGTGTTTTAGGTCAGTGGCAATGGCCCAGTTTTGAGATTAAAAAGTTTGTAATGGACCATGATTATTGTTTGAACTTGTCCTCCAGAAAGTTGTCCAGTAAAATCCACACTGAACCTTCCACCTATTGTTGACTGGGCTGAAACAGGAATAATTTGGACTCAGTTAGGAAGACCCTCCACCTTGACTGAAAGACTTAAAAATCAAAACCTTCCAGTTAGATTTCAGCACAGGTTAACTTCTACTTTTGTCACTGTGCAGGATTTAGTAGGGTGAGAAACTAATGTAGCGTCTCAGCTCATATTTTCTGGAGAGTTTGCTGCTTGTTTCCTTCTGCTGTCATTAGGATATACAGCTTTAATGTCCTCACGTTAGAATGAATAATGCCTTTTTTACACGTCTGCTAAACTCAATGAAGGGAAGTGATTAACCTTCATCCAGTCTGGCCCACACAGCTAAAATGTTGTAAAGGTTATGTGATGAGCAGGGTTGTGCTGGTAACTAATGCTATGAAACTCACCATTCTTTCTCCCTGACCTTCCTTCACCACCCCTCATACATTTGAATAGTCTTTAAGATTTCCTGTTGGGTTGAAAATCTATCTTTTGCTGAAAAACAAGCGATGTTGCTTGGGAATAGTAATTGGCTGTAGCCAATTCAACATTCAACAGTATTCAACAGTCCTTCAGAGAAGGGAAAACTGCATCAGTAGATGTCACAGAAATGTAAATATTGTTAGTGGCATCAGTGGAGGGGAAAAAATACTGTAAGAACTGTAGTACATGTCAGAAAATCTAACAGGAACAAAAAATGGCCCTTCAAATTTAAGCAACAGGGTTACTGAGATGGAAGAGAGAACATCTACTTCGGAACAGAAAGCTGTTAGTGGGCAGAAAGATGTAGAAAATGTCAGTACAAAGGTGGAATAAATGCCTCCAATTTTTCCCTTTGTGAGTTGTTTCCAAGACTAACAGTATGAAGATTGTATGCTTCCTGGTGGGATAGAAAAGGGAAGCCAACCACCCTGTTCCAGGAAAGCGTGCTACAATTGTTAAAATTGTCTTTCCAAGCTAGAAATCAAGAGATAAGCAACTATCCATATACACAATTGAGCGACAATGCAAATGGTTGAATTTTCTATCTTGTTCATAACTAGAGAAAAAAAATTACTCCTTTGAGGTGACGCATGTTTCTGTTGTGGTGCCTTGCATGAAAGGTTTGGATTAGCTAGTGCAGTGACTGGAAATCCAAATTATTAGTTGAACGGATAAAGATGGTGATTAATGATCTTTTATTGCTACTACCCATAACTTAGACAAAGCAAAATTAGAGCTGAATTTAGGGAAAAACATGTGTTCTTATTCTACACTGTAATTTTGTCAACTCTTTTAGGACTGGTCTAACTGGATTAATCTCTGGAAGAGACTTTTGGGAAGATCTAGAACTTGTTAAGAAAAAGCTGTGAACAGACATCCCTTACCAGGGCAGGCAGAATGCTGATACTAGACACAGGTCACGTGTCATGCGTAAATAGGGTTATTAAATGGTAAGCTGGTATGTTCTGGACTGGGACACAATTTCAGCTTGCTCACCGTGCATTTCCCCTATATGCTCAGTTAGATACAAAACCCTTTTCCTGTCCCATGTAACAGTTTAGTGTAACTGGTAATCAGGTAGTGTATGTTATTCTCTCACTGTTCAAAATTCATAACTGAAAGTAGTGACCACTGTTGGTAAAATATGTAAGCATTATTCAGGTGGAAAGCTGCTACAGAGGTGGCACTTAACACAGCTCTTTGTGGCCGTGATGTGGAAGCTGGAAAACTGCAAATTAGAACTGACTTCAAACTAAAAATAAAGATTTAAAATAAAGAGCTAAATCAATGTACAGTGACTATTGTAGCGTTAGTCATGTTAAATATTGTGGGTGCTCAAAAGTTCTCAACTCTTTTTTTATCATCTTGACCTATCAAATGTAAAATATATACATTTGAGCAGTCCCAAATGAGTAAAACACTGTTCAGCTCTAGCTAGGAAGGTGGGAACTTTAACATGCCAAAGATCTGAGAGTCTTCAGCAGCCCTGATCTCATGCAGTGGTCTGAGCCCAGTGCACCTATACAGGAATAACTCATCCTTCCAAAAGGGTTGGATCCCTCAGATAGGGATGACCCCATCTTCTTTCTTATCTCCACTACTTTTAGCACTTGCCACCACAACAGTGCAAATGTCCTCTAGCCTGTGTTTGCTGACCAGTTGTATTGATGTTAAAGTATCAAGAATCAGCCAATCAGGTTGTTACTGTTTAACTTGACGTAATGTTCTAGCTCAATGGCAGGCTCTTCCATAGAATCATAGAATGGTTTGGGTTGGAATCTATCTTATTTTTGTTTAAAACCAGTACCCCTTGGCCTGTTGCTACAGGCCCTGCTAAAAAGTTTGTCCCCATCTTTCTTATAAGCCCCTTTTAAGTATTGAAAGGCTGCAATAAGGTATCCCTGAAGCATTCTCTTCTCCAGGCTGAATGACCCCAAATCTCTCAGCCTTTCCTCATAGAAGAGGTGTTTCATCTCTGATTGTGTTTGTGGCCTTCCTCTGGACCCACTCCAACAGGTCCATGACTGTTGGAGTCATGTGCTGAGGACTCCAGAGCTAGACACCACTCTGGGTGGGGGCTCATGAGAGCAGAGTAGAGGGAGAGAATCACCTCCTTTGACCTGCTGGCCACACTTCTTTTGATACAACTCAGGAAACAGCTGTCTCTCTGGGCTGCGAGCATACATTGATGGCTCATGTCCAGTTTTTCACCCCCCAGTACCCCCAAGTCCTTCTCTCCAGGGCTTCTCTCAGTCCCTTAATCCCTCAGCCTGTATTGATACTGGGGGTTGCCCTGACCCATGTGCAGGACCTTGCACTTGGCCTTGCTGAACCTCATGAGGTTCACATGGGCCCACTTCTTGAGCTTGTTCAGGTGCCTCTGGATGGCATCCCAACCCTCAGGTGTGTCAACCGCCCCACTCATCTTGGTGTCATCTGCAAACTTGCTGGGGGTGCACTTGATCCCACTGTCTGTGTCACTGGTGAAGATACTGAACAGCACTGGCCCCAGTACAGACCCCTGAGGGACACCACTCATCACTGATCTCCATCCAGACACCGAGCCATCCAGACCACTACCCTCTGGGTGTCACCATCCAACCAATTCCTAATCCACAGAACAGTCCATCCATCAAATCCATATCTCTCCAATTTAGAGAGAAGGATGCTGTGGGGGACCATGCCAAAGGCCTTACAGAAGTCCACATAGATGACATCTGTAGCTCTTCCCTTGTCCACTGATGCAGTTGCTCCATCATAGGAGGCCACCAGGTTGGTCAGGCAGGACTTGCCCTTGGTGAAGCCATGCTGGCTGTCTCAAATCACCTCTCTGTCCTCCATGGTATTTAACATAGCTTCTAGGAGGATCTGTTCTGTGATCTTCCCAGGGACAGAGGAGAGGCTGACAGGTTGGTAGTTCCAGGGTCCTCTTATCCACCCTTTTTGAAAATGAGTTCAATGTTTCCCTTTTTCTAGTCACCAGGGACTTCACCTGACTGCTGTGACTTTTCAAATGTCGTGGAGAGTGGCTTCATCAGCCCATTCCCTCGGGACTCTAGGATGCATCTCAAGACTTTGTATGTTCAGGTGCCTCAGGTGATCGCGAACCTGGTCTTCTCTTACAGTGGGAGGGACTTTTGTCCCCCACTCCCCATCTTGCAGTCCATCCACTCAGGAGGTGTGGGAAGAGAGGTTGTCCATGAAGGCTGAGGCAAAAAGGTTGTTGAGTACCTCAGCCTTCTCCTTGTCTGTTGTTACCAGTTTACCAGTTGTGTTCATGGAGGAGGGGTTACGCTTTCTTCTTAATTACCTTGGAGAAACCAAAATAGCTCTCTAGATAAAAAACTT